GAGACCGTACTGCCCTCCCCGGTCGATTTTGGAGGAAACCGATGGCCCCCGAAAGCGTTTGAGGTGGCGGTCAACGGTGGTTCCCGTGACCGCTGCTCGTCAGAGGGTGTGCTTTTTGCGGGTGGCTTTGGAAGCTGACGAGCAGTGTGTTTTTGGCGGGTGGGTTCAGAGGCCGCGTCGCCAGCGGTGCCTGCTGCCAAGATCTTCCGCCGTGATTCCCGCTTTTTGATCTCTTTCTCGTTCGTTGTTGGATTTCCCTTTCCGCGGGGGGGGGGGCCCGGGGATTGTCTTTTGACCCTCGTTTTCGCTGTGATAAGAGTGCCCTTTGCAATGTCTTTCTCCATGGCGAGGCCCGGATCCGCAACGGCGCTTGATCGACAATGCTGAGAGAGAGCAGGGAGATGGTGGTTGATCCACTTGCACACCAAAGGGGAGGACATTCAGGTGGGTCACGGTGGGTGATGGCGTTTTGGTGCCGAGAACTCCTTCTTCCGACGCTCTCTGAGCAAGGTTGTAAAGAAGGTACGGTGTGCTTTGGGGTGATCGGCCGCCAGCGCCTCTTTTCCTCCAAGATCCAATGTCCAGCCCGCTCTTGTGCGTTGTAAACCCCTCCTCCCTGTCTCAAGGAAGTGGGGGGGAGGGTGTGCCATGGCAGACGAGACGGAATGGGCAGCTTGGCGTAGGCGTTCAATCAACCCCCCATATCCCCATTCTCCCCGTCAAGTCCAGGTCAGCCAGCCCACACGAGTTCAAGGAGCGTCAAGTCAGTCAGCCGCAAGAGTCCAAGCCTATCCTTTTTGTTCCATCCAGGCATCCTCTCAGTTCAGTTGACTGTGGGAGTGTGGTCAAGGGAAGGTAATATGGGCAAGGGCGGGGGAGTATACTTCAAGGACAAGGAGGGAACTTTTGGAGGTCAAGGGAGGGGGGCGTTGACAAGGCGCGCCGGCGCGTGCTGTGGACGCGTGGAAAACAAGAAATGTGGGAAAAGGTGAAAAACAGAAAAAAGAGTAAAAAAGAGTAAAAAAGAGAAAAGAGAAAAAAGAAAGGTGTCTTTTGTGGGGGGGGGGGGGGTTCAGATATTTTCATGCGTGATGAGGAGAGCCCGGTGTCTGTCACACCATCTTTCAACTTGATGGAGACACCCTCCCCCCATCGAGTCCACTCTCTTGGCTTTTTCACAATCACAACAAACTCAGCCTCAAAAGGCGAGTGTATATTCACTCTTCCCCCCCATCCACGACACCCTTCAAAGTACGTACCGAACATCCCCTCGACAGAGTCCATCATACAAAGATCAAAAACGAGCAGTTGGTTTCATGAGGCAATTAAAGATACGAAGCTTGTTTTTTTTTTTTTTTTTCCAAAAAAAGTTACGAGGATCAAACAAACAAATTATTGAACTTTTTTCTGTTTTGGAGAAAAAAGGCGAATTCAAAAAAAACAAGCTTCAAGAAAAGAAAACAAGAGGGGCGGCCTGTGGACGCGGTGCTTTTTCTTTGAAAAAAGACCATCACGCTCTATCAGAGAAAAATGAAAAAAAACGAGAAACGAGAAACGCTTTGCGGGTTCACGGGGGAGGGGGTGGGAACATGGTCGGAGTTAAAGGAGGGTTAAAGAGGGGAGGGATTTAGAAGAAGGCAACCGCGGCAGCGATGGCGGCAATGACGGCCACGGGGGCGCCAACCTTCTCGGCACCCGACCTGGTGGTGGTGGTGGTGACGGCAGCCGCGGTGGTGGTGGCGGGCTTGACCGAGGTGGTGGGGACGGGGGCGGTGGTGGCAGCAGCGACAGAGGTGGCGGGGAGAGCGCGGGTCGAGGACGCGGCAACAATGGTGGCGGGGAGGTCGTCAGCGTCGGTGGTGGCAGCAGCGTCGGTGGTGGCAGCAGCCGAGGTGGCAGCAGCCGAGGAGGTACCAGCAGCAGCACCGCCAGCAAGGGCCTGGCACTGGGCGCCGATCCTGGTGACGGACTCGGTCACGGCCACGGCGTTGGGGGCGCAAGCAGCGTCAGTGCCAATGCAGCCAAGAACCTGCTGGGCGACGGGGGTGCCGCCAGAGAGGGAGGCGACGAGCTGGCAGACGGCGGTGGCGCCGGCAGCCGAGGGGGCGGTGGGGACGGTGGCGCCGGTGATGGTCTGCAGGCAAGCAACAGCGCAGGCGGGGACCTGGGAGAGCTCGGTGAAGATGGCGGTGACCTGGGCGGCCTGGGCGTTGACCGAGACGGCGAGGGTGGCGGCAGCAGCGACGGCGAGGATGACCTTGACCATTTTGATTTGTTTTGGTGGGGGGTTGAGAGAGAAGGTGAGTGAGGTAAGAGGTGCTGAAGGTGAGCTGGTTTGGGATGAGAGAGGGGGGGAGGAAGGGGAAGGGACCTGTCCTTTTTATACGCGATGGGGATTGAGAGTGAGTGAGTGAGTGAGGGTTGGCTGGATGGACGAGGAGGAAAGTACATAGTGACCGTGTCAACGGGAGAGAGAGAGAGGAGAATTTTTTTCTTTCTTTGTTTTTTTCCTTTTCCCACGGGTAGGAGGGATTTCTATTCCTGGACTTTTTATCTTTTCTTTTGCTCAGCACCTGTCCTGGAGGGAGGGAGGGAGGGAGGGGGGGTGCTCTCCTTTGGCTGATGCTGATGATGATGACGATGCTGATGCTGATGGAGGAGGAAGAGGAGGAGGAAGGAGAAGGGGAGGATAATAATACTTTTGGAGTGAGACGTGTCAAAGGGGAAGGGGGGGGGGGGGGGTGCTTCCTCTTCCTTCTCTTCTCTCTTCTTGGAGTCTATTATTTTTGATGGACGACACCAGTCACCACCATGGCACACACCACCAACAGTGACCACCATGCCGAGATGACGTGCACGTGTCCCCTCTTTCAAAACTCACAAGAGACACCCCCCCCCCGCCTCTCCTTGTCCCTGCCTGGCAGTGCCTGCCTCGCCCTCTCCTTCAAAGGAAAGACTCTGGGAACACAAACAAATTTTTTGAATGAACTTGGTCCTCCTCTCCTCTCCCATCTTCTGTGTGACTCTCTTGTAATACTGTGACACAAGATACTCTCTTCTTCTCTTCT